GATCCCGCAGGACTCCTCTAATCCACTAATATGCGACGTGCACGGTCATAAGATCCTGGCTTTGAGGCGTAATTGCACATCATCTCGTTTCATCTGCTCCAAAAGGCCATCGGAAGAGCTGAAGCGGGATTCGATTGTGAGATGCTGCTGCTGCTGCTGCTTGTTGTACCAAACTGTCCTGTTTGCAGCTGTTTTTAATGAGCATTTTCTAGAGATGCAACGAATTTAAAATTCTTGGCCGAAGCCGAACAAAATGAAACAATGGGCCGAAGGCCGAACACAGTTTTTCAAATTCTTTCCCCATGTATTTTGACAATTTTTTTCACCACTACATAAATTAAATAGCCAAAATGTGCTTTTTACCGTTTTGTCTTGCTTTACAAAGTAAAAATCAATTACAAAACAACAATTTAAAAATATTTAACACTGAAAATTTTTAACATTCTAGCAGACATTATACCAACAAAGCACAATTTAACTTAAAATTAGTAAGTTACTAAAATAATATTTTTGGCGATCATACCCCCTTCTTGAATCAGGCATGTATTTTTACTGTACAATTAAAAGCAGCCTTGCTGAGCAGAAGAGACTTCTTTTAAAACATTAGAAAATATTACAGATACACACAATGTGTGAATGTTATAATAAATGTATTAACAGAGCTCTTATAATTATTATTATCATTATTATTGTCTTTTATTTTATTTTACAGAACAACAGTAAAATTACAACAATACTAACATTTATGAATGTTGGAGTTCTTGCTTTTTCTCAACTTTTATTTTGGCGGAAACGTGCAGGAAGACCTCAGTGCTCTTTTTTATAAAAACAGCAGATTTATAAACGAGTCTCATTACGAATACGTCGCACGTATATTATAAAGAGTGCGCGCCTCTCACTTTACGCTGGTTGCTATTTGATCGCGTCACGTCATTGTTCGGTACAGTTTATTCGGTCTTTTCGCTTATTATTTCGGTTGCTGAACATTCGGTGCATCCCTAGCATTTTCATGTTAATTCTGAGCTGTAGATGAATTTCAGGGCTAGTCATGACTCTGTCTTCAGCTTTTACCTGTTCTAAGTAGATTAAACCAGTGGTCGACCGATATCTTAGAGAGCAGGGTATATGAATTATCACACCTTTGACATGCTTTTATGCACAGCTGGCTTCGCTGAAGTTTGTGGCATTGTGCTGTCAAAATAAAAGTCCCCCTTCCTGCAGCTTGAATGCTCTTATATTTGATTCCAGTCATTCATTAACCAACTTTATCAAGTGCATCATGGTATACTTTGTAACCAGTGGTGTATAAAGCTCTGCTAATGTTATATTATGGGCGGGGCCTTCGAATATTGATTGATTAACCACAATTCATGTTGTGATTCCAGACCAAGGTTAATCTATCAACATTATATCTTTTTAGACAAGTAGCATATGGATGTCCTGTCATAAAATATTCTTAATATGACTGAATTTGTATTTAACATTGTAAGTTACTAATTATAATGCTTACATTTCCTAATTTATTCAAACAGTGAGCGAAGAACATTTAAATTATCAAAGAACATCATCACTGACTTCAGTCTGACGCGAGTTTATGCACTAAAAACACTCCCGTTATAGCGCTATATCAAGTTATAATAATATAGTAAATGATGTTAAGATATTAGCAATATTCAATTTAATTATATGAATAATATTATATTAAATTAGTTTGTCGTCCTGCGGCCCCTTTGATGAGAACCGATGTTTTAAAACTATTGATCTGCTTGTACATTTATTAACTCTTGAAATCAGTTTTAGTTTTGTAAAGAAATGAATATTTTGGTATAATTCGTAGTTGTGTTCAAAACTGATTTCTGGCATTTATTTATTTATTCAGTCAAGTGTGTCCATATTTTGATTAGTATTGTAATATTCACATTTTTTTTATAAAATAATATATATATGTGTA